CTTAGCTTTGCACTTGCGGTCTCCGATGAGGTGACCTTTCCGCACAGTTGGCACACCGGCTCGCACCGATGATCGTCGGGCGGGTTGCCGCATCCGCACCCACGGCACTTCTTGTCGTTCGGGTTGGGGCACACGTCGGCCCTGTGTCCCAGACGACCACACTCGTAGCACATATTGATATGTTTCTTGTAAAGAGTGCACCTTATCACCATCCCGCCGTAGTTCACGTAACGAGGCACGTAGTAGCCGTCGAAAAGGATTATCACGTTGGTCGTGTTTCCCATGCGCTTTGCATGCAGGACGTTCGGGTCGCGGTGGTTAACCAGACTTCTCACGACGTCCGCCGGCTTTTCATCTAGCGATATGCCCCTGATGAGGCCTTTGGACGTGTTCTCCGGAGCCGCTCTGTAGGCACTCGCTTCGAACTCGCGGTCGCCAATTCGCAGCTTGCAAATGCCTCCATATCGTCCAGCGCGATCTTCTGACGGCGTGCTTACCACAATAACGTTTTGTCGCTCATTGAGACAGACGCTGTCTTCCTCGGCTACCTCACGCCCCACCCCTGCAGCGTTGCGTATGCAGCAGTGGACGCGGTCCTTCTGGTAGTGGGATACGTTGAAGCCATTGCGGGGTCGCACGATGATCTTGTAGTCATCCGTCGGCAGGTTGGGCATTCGGCTCGTCATGGTGATCTTCCGCACGTACTGCGTCGCTTTCTGTATAAACGCCGCCTTCTCGGTAGGCGCTGGCGTTGCTTGCTGGTTCTTCGCCGGGTCGGCGTCTCCACCCGCCTTCTTGGTGTTTCGTTTGATCTCGCACCATCCCTGCTCTTTTCCGAACACCGTCGGCGATATCTCCTCCCCTTCGACTTGCACGAATTCTATTTCGGGCGCCGGCGCAGCGGATGGGGCACCCGCTTGCTCCGACGACTTGTCAGGCCTACCGTGCCTTGTCTACTGGCTTGACTGTCGTGCCAGCGTGGCAGTACGGGCAATCTTCGAAAATTGACCGAAACACGGGCTCACCTGCACAAATGGTATCAGGAGAGACCGCTGGACTTTCGCAGTCACTTGGGAATAATCTGAACTGAATGGCTGGAAAGAAATCGCCGAAAACCATAGAAAATCTGCGGAGCCGATGTGACGCGCGTCCGCACACCGTGGCCCCCTAGCGGCCAATCCAAGCCACATCAGAAGCACAAGAAAAAAATTCAAGGCAAGAACCGACGTATTGTACGTTGATGCGACCACGCACAGAGAGCACTCCGGGACAGTTGTAAGCATTGTTGATCACCAACTTAGGGAAGTCAACAGCGCTTCGATCAGAAGCAACATCCTCGAGGCTGAGGAAGTAGCGATCGCGATCGCAATCACACACCAGAGCGAAACGCCTACTACAGAAATAGTTGCTGACTCCCAAGAAGCGTGTCGACGGCACAGCAGTGGACGCATATAGAGTGCTGCCATCTGCATACTCAAGGGAAGAAAAAAATTGGCAGCATATCCATGAAGTGAATGATGGAGAGTGGGGCGAAGCATTCGTCCGTCCATTCGTTCTTGCTTCTGTCCGTCCATGCGTCCGTCTGTGTGACCGTCTATGCGTTCATCCGCTCGTCTGTGCGTTAGTCTGTGCGTTCGTCCGTCCCTGCGTTCGTCCATGCATCCGCCCCTGCGTCCGTTCATGCGTCCATCCAAGCATTTGTCTTTGTGTCCATTCGTCCATCTATTCAACTCTCCAAGTACCACCATCTCGCATTTTTTCATCATATATTCCCCATATAAGAGCACCGCCATCCAGCGGATATTCCAAGGACTAAACGAGAGGTGGCACACGCGCACTTTTTAACGGCTTGCGCTTCGGGTCTACTTCCCACCTTGAACCACCTCGAGTTCATGGTATATACTAGTTTATTGTATTCATGGCACTGCGGCTCAACGCTCGCTAAACCTTTCTAAAACTAACGAAATTACACCCAGCGAGTATAACGTAGCAACCCTTTCTTATCAGATAGTGTTCAATGTACATGCCAATGGCTGTTAATGGGGATTGCAGCGTGCGTGTAAATTAAAATCCGAATGCTCCTGTCTCTCATTCCCCATTAGCAGCCATTGGCATGTACATTCAGCACTATTTTTATCGTTCAACAACGCACAGAAGAAATCTCTCACCGGCACGTCCTTGGAGGTCAAAACGTTATACTTGTTACACACTACAACGACTACGAGGGACGAATGGTTGTCGCTATAGTGAGCTTCGCCCCTAAAATCAACTTCTCGAGCTGCTCCACTACGTGGACACCAGGCCATGAAACTGTGACAGGGAACCAGCGTGCCGACGCCATAGCCAGAGAATACGCCGACCAGGCGGCGCACAACGACGAGGAACCAGCCACAGTTGCTATACGCTATGGAGCAATTTTCGAACACCAGAGAGCCCTAAGGAGGATATACCCTCCTCTCCACAAAGACCCCAGCAGAGAGCAGTCGGTTGTCTGGAGACAGCTGCAGACTAATACGTACCAGAATCTCTGTCTTCTGAGCAAAATTTATCCGGAAATATACGCCAACAAATGCCCGCTATGAAGAGAACACCCCACACTTTACCACATGACATGGGCCTGCCAGCACACACAGGTAGTGCCAAGAAACTGTACACCAGCACCGGAGCAGTGGGAGGCTTCGCTATCCGGCTTTAAGCCTGATGAACAGCTCAAGCTGGTTGAAAGAGCTTGCAAGATGGCAAAGGCCACAGGGGCCCTTGACTGAGGGCTCCACCTTCACCGGAAAAAAATATTTGTAATAAAGTTTTGCATTCATTCTTTTCTTATGAATTGTGCTACTCGGTAATTACAAAACACGGCGTACGACGAATCCTGCCCTAAAAAAGTCTAAGCTCTACTACACACATTTGCGTGTTTGGCGCACGCGCACCTCCACCATGGCGTGGCAGGAGACAAACTCTCACATACACACAAACACTCAAACAAATAAATAACTGATGACTGACCCCCAAAAAAGCCGTACAATGTTTTAGTTGGTATAATGGTTTACACTGCTGCCTTAAAATTTTAAAAGCAAGCTCGAAACATGCAAAAACACTTATCTGCGCAGTCAATCGGGAGCCCACGGAAAACGCATCCATCCACCGCGCCAGTTCGGAGAGTAGCTGTTCAGCGCCATCTAGATGAAGCTCAGTCAACGGCAGTTTGTATGTACTTCTATGAGCCAGCGCTATTTATTATACTGTTTGGCAGATACTGCCGGTTAAAGGGCCACTCACCAGGCCCCCATACCAAACTTTAGTTAGACAGCGGAAGTTGTTGGGAGTCTGATGAGGAACGTTTTGCCACAAAAATTTCTCGAATAGGTTCATTACGAGCGGAGAAAACAGGTTTTTTGAAGCGGCGCGAAATGAGGGTGAGAGGAGGTGAGCTCGAAACCCTTGCCGCTCCTCCCCGACGCCTTCGCAAGCCAAATCTTTTTCATACCCTCTCCCGCATCCTACCAAGAGGTGACGTGCGCATGACGTGACGAACAAGCCCAGCCCCCCGTGCACGCGAGCGGCGTTGCTTTGTTGACCAGCATTGTTTCGTGGTCTTCTGCCTGTTTCTGCGGGATGGTTTGGAAACTGGACGCGGTAGAGTAGATGAGCACAATGAGTGCGCGAACGCGCAGGAGGGTTCCACGGCGGTCGTCTGCTCAATGCGCTGACCGTGGAGACACGAACGCATGCGAAACGCTGGCACACTAGCCCCGCATCTCGTAGCATTTCACGGTAAAAAATGAAAGAAAAACGCGCACAACTTTTTATTGCGTCTCATTATTTATTTCAAGTTTTATTCATCTCTTAAAGCAACAAATACATAAACTACGCATGTTGTGCTAATTTTTGCCATGTCACGTGGTATACTGTTGACAACGTCAGAGCAGAGTCGTCTACGTAGATGACCAACGTCACTGCATTGCCGTGTACGAAGGGCCATTCCTATGCCTACGTCATGCCCTCATTTTCTGAGAGTGCGCAGGTAGAGGGGAGGGCGCGCCGCTTTCATCTTGAAATTTGACCCATTTCCGTGGCACGTAGCGTTGCAAAGTTTGGCAGACGTGATCATGAACGCCTTGTCTACACATTGCGCTTGTCAGCTCAAAATTCTCAAACCTGGGGAGAATAAAGTGGGTAACGATTTAGTGTACAGGGTACTCTACTATGGGAGAGCTTAAAGCCGTCCCGTGAGCTTCAGAGTCTAAAGCCGCTTTGCCTGGAATGTTTAGAAAAAGTTTTTAACGATTAAGAGTACGGTGTACTCTACTATGGGAGAGCATAAAGCCGTCCCTAAACATGAGTTCCAAGAAACGTGGTACGGCAGTTTAACCGAACCTAAAATTTCCCAACGTTTTAAGGTTACATCTGACCAACAATACCATATACATATATATTGCCTACCCCATGGAACAGACTTGCATTAGTGTCACTGGTTTTGTTTTCGAAACTCGAACGTCCTTGTAAATTTCTTTCAATAGTTTGAGATTATTGTTTAGCTATCCGCGTATATGATCTAGATTTACAATGCCCCTTTAACTTAAGTTATGCCTAGTGATTTTATTCGCCGACAGCCAGCTCTTGCACATTCAGCGGCAACCGCCTTGCGCGACTGAATTTTGCAGGAGAAGGGAACGCGCGCCAGCAAGCGATTCCGCGGAGCGGTTCCTAAGAGTGTCTCCGAAAGCTCGGTTTTCAGATTACATGCACCGTGACAGCAAGAAAAGGGCATTGGCCACAGTCCAGTCCATTGCCACAGTCCATTGGCCACTTAATACCCCACTAAAGCGGTTTTTTTGTTTTTGAATCTCTCTAATATTGTATAATAAATAACCCCAAGTGGTTGCGATTGTCCGGAGTGTTCAGTAGCGGCATTGCTTATAATCATTTTGTGGCTCTCACACGTAGAGCACAGGAAATTATTATTAACCTGCATTACGCTGTTTTTTCTGTTTTTTAAGGCCTCGAATTGTGCTGGACAATGGCAACATGGTGTTCCAGGTGCCCAGTGCCAAGAATATTAGCTTCCGCACTAGCTCAGGACGCGGAGGCATTTTTCTCAATGGACGGGACGTGGCTGAGGTCCTTGCCAAGGTGAGATAAGCGTAGAATATTTTTTTTTTACTCTACACTGTCAATGGTAACTCTTAACTATAACCGTACTGCATCTTCAGTTTTCAAACATATGGAGTAAGGCAATCAGGCAGTGGCTGGCTGGAATAATTTAATATGAAAAGGAGACTTCAGTCGGCATATAGGAGATGTATAATCCTTTTTCTTTTATAACAGACACGTCAAACTGATAGAAAATGCTGCCAACATTTTATGATATGATCAGGAACCAAGTGAAGAACGTTATTCCGGCGTTTTGTTGTTGTCTGTCTTCTTTTCGGAGGCTTTGGTCACCGCATTAATCTATTTATCTAACAATCACTTCATTATTTCCAAATATCTGAAAAGCCAGATTTCTCGAAAAAAAAATGGCAGCATATCCACAGAGTGAATGATGGAGAGATGGGCGAAGCATTCGTCCGTCCATTCGTTCTTGCTTCCGTCCGTCCATGCGTCCGTCTGTGTGACCGTCCATGCGTCCATCCACCCGTCCGTGAGTGCGTCTGTTCGTGCGTCCGTCCCTGCGTTTGTCCATGCATCCACCCCTGCGTCCGTTCATGCGTTCATCAATGCATCTGTCTGTGTGTCCGTTCTTTCATCTATTCAACACTCCAAGTACCGCCATCTCGCATCTTTTCATCATATATTCCCCATATAGAAGCACCGCAAGGCAGCGGGCATTCCAAGGACTAAACGAGATATGGCACACGCACCTATATATTCAGCACACAGAACAAATAGATACCAACAGAACCATCGCAAGCTATTGACTAGGTTTGCATGGAACGCATATACAGAACGTACAGTGACCGCAAGAGTTAACGCTAAAACAAACCCCGACAGCTCATTCCACACGCAAGCCATCTATCCACGCGTAGAAAAAGTAGGCCCTTTCAGCTTTGCTGCAAGAACTAGTTCTTCAATACTGCCAGCGCAGAGACAGTGCGTCTTCACGGTGACCGCTACAAGCATGTCAACATATGTACACTATGACTGCAAACTTCTTTGCGTTAGTGTGTTACCTGATATTATAGGCGTAAATCTGGGAGGCCAGATAGGTGATTACGCCTGGCGACACTGAGATAAGCCGGGCGAGCGCGTATTAGTTGCTGCAGAAACCTACTGCATATCATTTTTCACTGGATTATGTTCTGGTGAGTTTTCCAATACTGGATGAGTGGCCTTTTTAAAACTTTTTTTTCTCAAGGATACTCAAAAGAAAAAGAAAGAGCATTTTTATGATTGGGGTTTCAAGAAAGGTCACAAGCTGTCATCATCAATGAAGACCCCGTATTCCGCAACCACGTTGTCGTATACAGGAATACACCACAAGCTAAAAACCCCTCATATCGCGGTGTTTTAGTATAGTGATGGTAAGAGTATACACCGTAGGGGTCGGCGAAGTTTTATTTTCTTTAGTCTAGGCTGTCAATATTACAATCTCATCAAGCTACCGCACCAAATAAGAGCATCGAATGCCCTAAAGGTTCTTGAGAAATCCTGCGTGCGGACCACAATGATGAAGTATTTTGGTATCTACAGTGTGATGTTACTGTCACTGATAAAACACCCTATTGGTGCGCAACGAACTAAGGGTGACCAAGGCTGTTTGGAACTCATGCAACTATGCTATATCCTTCAACTGAAGATGCTGTCTTCTTTACAAACCCCATCGAGCGCTGGAGGGGCTTGCTCGTGCTACACTGGTTGGCACAATGCTTGGTGCTACAATCATTTAATTATTCATTCGATATTACAGTAGCGATTCTAAGGACTGTACAGGCGCAAATATGCCCTTGGTGTTGACAGAATGTTCCGTATTATGTTTAAATTTAAAGCGTATACCGCCCAACATATCGTATGTTCTATGTGCGGGTTAAAGCATGCGAGTGCCGACGTCGACTGCTGCCAAACGGAGAGGAAACGCGTCGCCCACCTTTTGTCGCGAGAAAGGCTCGCGAAGGGATGAGCCAGAGAGAGGAGGATGCGCTCATCGACATGCGTGGTGTGGTCGTCCACGGCTGCACGTTCACCTTTAGAGAGATCAGCTAACCACTCATACTATCAAACGTCTCGTGTTACGGCCGCAATATGGGCTGTGAAGCCATATACAACGTGGAGGTCCCTTCGCTCGCTGCGGCAGCCATGTTTCGAAACTCAGTGCGCACACAAGACATTCTAGAAAAGTTGTGGAGACGTAAATCAGCTGTACAATGCTCTTCATCTCACCGTGCTCTCTCATTATTATTTTTTTGCTATTCATTTTTACCCTGGCATCTGCAATGAAGAAGTATCCTTCGTTCGCAAGTAATTATTGGAAGTCACTTACTCCTTATGTACTTTCTCCAGCAAGCGTATTACACCATTTTTTTAGGAATGTGGAGCTCTTTATCAGCTATAACACCGAAATATCACATTGCGCTTCCTAATTGGACCCATAGGGTTTAGTAAAGCAATGGCTTTGCACAAATTCGATGTGTAGCAATGGCGTTTTTTTATTACTGATACCTTTCCGGGTATGACATCGCATACATTGTGCGCAGGTGCCTGAGCTTGTACGCTTTGTTTTAGGTTCAAGTGTCCTCTCCCTCTTTTGATTTCTCCTTCCTCGTCCCCACGTGTAAGGTAGCAAATTAGCGTTCCTAGACTGACCCTGCCTTTCCTTCTCTACCGTTTTCTCTTCTTGAGTGTCTACGCCAAACGCCATAATGCCACAGCCCCCCAAGCTTTTCTACTTGTTTGTTCATTATTCGAGATTCTCTTTGACATCTTTGTTTTATGTTCTCGGAGAAATAAGCTATTCGACACGTCTCTGAATAGTTAACTGAGATTACACCAGTAACACTGTTAAAGCTTACCTTAAGTAATCATCGCGATAGCTTTACGTGCTTTAAATGTATTTTCTGATTACAGGTCTCAGAGGCAGCGCGGACTATCGAACCAATTGCGGCAAACACTCAGGTACTGGTACTGTTCGCGTTCTGACCGCCCGCCTGTTTATGTTATTCTTCGACGTAAAGGTGCTTTACGTTACATTCCTGTTCGTGCCTCTACAAATCTTGATTTCTTGCATGACACTGCAGCTACAAACGCTGACGGAAACTGTGGAGACCGTGACCACGTTGCGCTCGCAAATGAGCCAGTTGAGCACAAAATGTCAACAGCTGCAGACTAAGGTCCGTATAATAAGTTCATGTTCTTTCTTCTCTTTCTTTTATTTTTATTTTCGTTCAGAACGCTTGCCGCTGACATTTTGAGTATATTGCGAGTGCATTGCAAGAATATTGCGCGCGAATAAATGAGTTGCTTTAAATTAGTGTTCCACTAGTCCAGTAATACTGTCACAAATTCACCTTGTGTTGTAACCACGAAGCAACACAACAAAGCTGACGCAAGCAAAACAACCACAGCATCTCCGGTGTTGGCTGTTTCCCAGCCCTAACCGGAATTGTAAGAGCCAGAGAATGTACGTTTTTAGAAAAGGAAAACTAAAACGGAAACGCCGATGGTGCTAATCACAAAACGCACAGATCACTGCTATTTAATTTAGCGAGCTATACTCGTCGCTTTTGTGATTTAAGATATCAATTGTATTACATTTGCCTGTTGTAACCTACAAGAAAAAACAAAAATACCTTGCGGTTATTTGTCCACAGAAACGTTGGTAGAAACGTCATAACCCTAGCAGATACCATTATATATAAAATCACAGCCTATAGGTATTGGTACATTGTATGAGTAGAATTAGAGTCGAAAAACTGCTGAGACAATAATCGAAAATTCAGGAAAAGCTTCAAAATTTATTCTGATTAGTCCTTCCGGGTAGAATGTTTCTGAGTATAACGTTTTTTTTTTTTCAAAACTCACAGTTGTAAACCTTAAATAGTAGGTATGGTCTTTCTTTTATGTTTTATGACGTTGGCAACTGAGGCCACGAGAAAAGAAGTTCATTCATATTTTTAAAGGCATATGTATACGGCGTAGAACTATGCGTGGCATGCGATAAATTTTTGTCCATGCAAATGTGGAACTGAATAGGCGCTTACTCAGCAGGAAGTGTTTGTTAGGGCTCACTGCAAAAGCACCTGGTATACCCTTCATTTCTTATTCCACATGCTTTGAAAGCATAGTTGGCCTGTTAGAGTTCATCTCCAAGCCTTCTGATCTTTGATTAGTGCACTCAATAAATCAGTCTTGACAATCAATGCGTGCAATACTTCTGCATGTTGAGATGATGAAAGAGTCTTTACATGAGTTTAACACACTATACTTGAACTGTGCGATGCAAGAAAGTACATCTTTCGATGTTCATGCTAAAATAGAAATCAATACGGGGACGTTGTACCAACGTTGTTCGGGAACTAGATAGTAATACAGCTTCTCAAGCTTCAAGGGGGGAGGGGTGGTCTGTATACTTCCGTGAAAATGGCTGAGCGAGTCGGTGAGTTGGTAGGTTGTGGGCTCCCGTGAGCGAAATCTTCTCGCGGAGCTCGTTTCAGTTAGACGTACCCTGTGGATAAAATTAGCCAGTACTTAAAAGCAGCCAGTGACATCTAGATGATAATTTCGCGCTCGATACAAACTTGCGGTTGATGCCAACGCTTTAACGTAGAGACACGCAAAGCAACTTTCCATTAACTGAAACGTGTCTTCTGTGATATTATGTGTTAAATGACATTTCATAACTCCAAGCGTTTATGCTCTTCTGAATTACCAAAGGTGATGGCACTGACCTAAGGACGGACAAAGTAACAACGCTTTATATTAAGCTATACTTTTGATTTGGTTATGACGACATACCGACTAGACCAGTGCACCACTCTTTAATGAAGCATTTTTTCCGGGTGTTTGGTTTTTTTTTTTAGTAACGGGGACTGAACTCTTCTGATCACAAGTGTGCACACGGAGAGGAGGTAGGCGAAAGCGGGGATCAAAGTGAGCGTCACACAGTGACGTTATAGTGAGAGAGGCGAGAGGGTGGTGCAAAGTCTGCCCCATATATACTTGATATGGAAGGGGGGCGGGGTGCTGAGACGAGTCTTAATTCGCCACTCCTGAAGGGAAATCATGCGCCCACCTATACTTCTGATCACAATTGGTTCGTCCAGCTATAAAGGCAACCCCACCGCAACTAAGCCATACACTCAGTATAAATTAATAATTTCCGCCGCAAGCGGGGGACACTTGTGGGAAAGAGCTTAACATAGCGATTTTTACGCGCAGGTTCGGAGGTTAGAGGCCAACTTGACTCGGGTGGTGAGAGTACCCGTAAGTACGCCCTGACTACAAAAGACACGTCGACCGACCGCCGGCGATTCTTAACAATAGAACACCTGCTCTCTCATTTCAGATAAACCGGTTGGTGACGGCGATTCGAAGACTCCGCACTGTAAGATACCTCTCGGAGAAATTTCTTACGGCTACCAATGCAAAAAACTAGGTGCCATTAGTGACCTCACATTCCCTAATGCCGATATTTTGTACTCGGTCATTATGTTATGAAGACTGCCATAAATTGTCACTGTCAGGCATGAAAAAAGAGCAACTGGTGCCACATGCTGACCCCGACCTCCCACTGCATGCTTTTATTTAAAAAAGAAAAAGCTTGGTAGCAGCTCTTGTAAGTCCGCTACAAAGATAAATTACAAGTGGAGTGGCTTATAAAGCTATCAACAATTTGTAAATCTACTCATTTATGGTACTGCTATCAACATGTCAATACACCAAATTTGAGCCCTTCATTTCTTGTCGTGTGAAGGAAACAAAGAAGAATTTTCACATTAATTTTATGTGAAATACAAACATACGGGACATGCATTTCTCTTTTCAAATTTCACACGTGCACTCTTCCACACTGCATAATTTGCAAAGTAATGACGGCACCTGTTGTTACTCAAACGTATACAGGCGGTCCTAGTTGAACGTGCTTGCGCTTGTCTATTATGAGTCTTTATGTCAAGAGAGATGACTCGACATTTTCCACGTTATTGAAAAGCAAACTGCTATTGAACAGCCTATTTGCAGTAAGTGACTAGCCGCCATTAGTAGTTCAAACTGAATAGCAGGAAAGCTAACTTTACAACTTTGTGAAGGGTCTACTGTATGGAGACGGTGCGTATAAGAAGAGGGAAAACAGCACAACATGAGAATTCACATAATTGCTCCACGCCTTTGTAAGATACAGCTACAGCTGTATTTTTCTTTTTCGTTTTTTTATTCTTCGAAATGTTGATTCTGAGAAAGTTACTTCTACTTGTGAGGTCATTCTCACTGTTAGTCCAGTATTTTAGGCAAATTTTGTTACTTGTACTGCAAACAGAGTGTCTTAAGGATGAGGCATTAAAAAGCAGAATACAGGTAGTTAATTTTTAGAGAGTTGTTTAAATAAATTCTACTTTATTTTCAGGGACTGAACCAAAATTCTTGTGCCTCGAACCCATGCAGCCACGGTGGCACATGCATTGGTCGTTTCAACGCGTTCACTTGCATCTGTCCACCGTCATGGGAGGTATGTTAATGCCTGTTTCTGTCTGTTGTTTGTGTATGACATTGCTATGAGGTATGCTGCATACTTGAAACGACTGCCGTCACTGCACTTATGATGTTAATAGATACTCACAAATGTTTGAAAATGTTTAAATATTTCAAGTGAAGGTTTGTTGCCTAATACTATACTGATTTTTACAAAGGCACTGAAGACGTAAAAACATCAGCACTTATACCTAACCTTGTGGCATATGGGTGTGCGAATATTCAAAACTTTGCACGTAGGATCGCAATAGTTTGATTGATTGATATGTGGGGTTTAACATTCGAAAACCACCATATGGTTGTGAGAGACGCTGTGGTAAGGACTTCAGAAATTTCGGTCACCTGGGGTTGTTTGACGTGCACCCAAATCTTAGCACACGCCCTCACCCACAGAATTTCCACCTCCATTGAAAATGCTGCAGCCGCAGCCGGGATTTGATCCCGAAACCCACGAGTCAGCAGCCGATTAACTATACATACTAGACCACCGCGGCGGGGCGCGAAATAGTTCTGCACTTTACAGAATTCGCAAGCCAATTTCACTATTCAAGATATAGTAACACCCGAAAACTTCCTAACAAGTATTTATTTGCGCGTAGAATTGCTTACCTGTGCCAGGTTGCACTACACTTGTTGCGCAAGGAGGAAAATAATTTCAGCTTTCTCCCACCCTTCTCGGCACTCCTCCTCTCAAAGCGCTTTTTCAATTTTCGTGGCGATGTTAGAGTGTAGTAGTTGGAGCATCGAATCTAGTATGAGGTCGGCAGCATTGTTACAATAGATTTGTCAAATTATCCTGAACAAAACGAAGGAGGCATGTGCAGTGCCACTGCGAAATTCAGGAAAAAGGTTAAAGAAACACCACTTTTATTGGTCATCCTAAGATGAATTACCTGCAATGAATATCTGCAGATCAGTTGTCATTCATGCTTCCAAATTCGACACCATGTTAGAGGATTACGAAATGTGTTTAGAAAAAGTGGTTAAAAGTTTGAGTAGTTAGCACTCTATTACGTTACGTGTTTGAAAAAAGTGTTTAACGATTTTGAGTACTTGGTACTCATCTGCGGGACAGCAGTGAGTGAGCTGTCCCAAATGTAAGCGGCTCTACAATGCTAAAGGCGATAATGACAAGATAAGGACACTAGCCCTCGTGTATACATTGTGTAGTGGTGCTGCTTGTCTGTAGTAAGAGGGACGTGCACAGTGGTTTCACAGGTTTCGTGGCGTACCAAGCAGGTATCCGCTCTTTTTTACAACATTAGAGAATTTTAGAATGGTACTTTTAACTATTAGTGTTTTACAATGCAAAAATACTTTATCATATTGTTTGCTATGCAACAAACTTACTTTCTCATGTATGGTTGTAAACCTTTTTTTTTCGCCAAAGTAAGCACTTGTGTCATCGTAAATGCACTTGAAAAGATTTCGAATCAAATGGCAACCGGTTTTAATTACTATACTTTGCTTCGAAATTGGAAAACAGATTCGCACACCCAAAAACTTCTTATGTAGAGGGTATGTGTAACTCTTACTAGTTATTTATTTTTCTATAGGTTTGTCTTTGACGTTTAGGCCCTGTGTTCCACTGATATCTCTTGATAATGAATTTCTACTTTGTTGGTTTCTACGGCTTTCATGCATTTGACAGCTGTTCGAGGGTACGATGATTCTATGATTACTTGATCCCCGGCATCTTTCACCATTATCCGCCTGTTGTCATGATGCTTTTCCTAGTTTAGAACTATTGCTTCAGTAAACGTTTCTTGCATGACCGACTATGAGTGTATCGAGTTTGACATACAGGGATATTGGAGCAATAACCACTACGCTGTTTTTCACTTGTCAAAGGCACTTGCAGACGTATAATATAGTAGCGGAGTATAATCTTGGGATCGACTCTTCCATAGGGACTTCGTTGCGAAGTGGATGTGGACGAGTGCTCCCACTGGGCTGGAAGTGATCTGGGCTGCCAAAACAACGCCCGTTGCATAAACATGCCAGGAAGCTACCGGTAAGCACTGCACTTTCTTTCAGATGCCGCTAATAAAAAGTTATTTCAAGTGGCTATTCCAGTGGAAATCTATTTGCAGAGCGCTTTTTTGTATGCACTCAAACCACTTGCTCAGATATCTCGTCGTTAACGAGCCACCACTTTGTAAAAGCCAGTTGTTCCTTTTCTGCCATTCATAAAGATCTAATTCTCCTCCATACCCCGCAATTATGTTATTCACGACTTGAAAGCCCCTGTTCAAACATTGAGATGCTGTACGCGTCAAACGGGGAAAAGCGTAGCTCGTCTGTTGTATGTCGGTTGTACATGAATGAAGTCTTCAAACGCAAAGCTGCTTCAACATCTCTGTAACTGTGGTTCTTTTCACCAAATGTGATGCAACATCTCACGATGACCAGTGGTTTCAACAAATCTTCAAGACATAGTAGTCAGTGACAGTCTATATAAGCTCTTTTTATGCATATGCAGGGTCTTATTCCAAAAAGGAAATACAGCCTATGATGCACTGACTATCCATAAAAATTTCACACACGTATGACAATTGGAATAAAATATTATAGGCACTGTGAATACCGTAAAATGTTCAACTAGCAAGTGCCACTTCAGTTCTACTTGTGCATTTCATTGTGCTAATCTACTTCAGCAATTTCTCAGTTCCTTTAATTACCAGAGCTTTTGCAATGGTACTTCAGTCATTAACACTGACAAGTGAATGCGTCAACTGTCACAACTTGAGTGTCAAGATGATTCGCGTTGTCCCAGTGAACTGTATACTAAGTGCTAGCGCGTATCAGTTCTTTGCTCTCGCTGTCGCTCTGTCTATTAATTTGTCTTCTTCCTCCTTCACAAGTGTCGGGTAGCAGATCAGATCTTGTGTTACCTGGTTAACTTTCCCGCCTTTTCTCTGCCTCTTTTCTCTGCCTTTTTCTTTCTCTCCCTCATTGAATGTAGGCGCGTTAGTAGCCTCAGCGGAAGCACTGGTGGTAATTTTGGTTATTAGGCATACAGAAGAAATGACGTAATCAGCTTTCTTTTTGCATATAAAATTATGGGAAGAGAGGCTAATTTAGAACCAGCTACCCCATCATTGAGGTAGTGATAGTCAAGACACGCAGAGTGAGTGAGTGAGTGAGTGAGTGAGTGAAACAACTTTATTTGATCCACAATAAGCACAAGAGACAAAACGTACAGAAACACAAAAACTAAGAAGAAAAAAATAATCACCAGCACTATGTACAAATACACAATATGAGGCGTATAAAGTTTTTGATAGTCTATGGTCATCAGTGTGCATGCTACATTTGTAGTTTCCAACGGTAATAACTAAAGGTATCCATCTCATCTACGCCACCAAATTCTAATAGGTTGAACGTCAGGCCCAACAATCCAAGAGGTCTTACTCACACCTTTATTTTGTAATTTATTTTATTGCGTGAGCAATTCTGCGACCAGGGTCAACGGGTTTTCGCAGTCCCCATCGCCGTTGGCGCTGCCATCACGTCACGTGTAAAGACCTAATTGCTAAGATCCTTTAGCGGATCGTAGGTTCTGGCTGGAATAAGAGTGTGCGAGCGCGGGCGACAAACGTCGCTGAAGCCGAGATCAAACAGACGGCCCATCTTCATTGTGTGCGGTCGGCACACGATAAAATCCACCCGCCTGTTAGACCAGTCCTCCAATATAAAAGCAAAAAGAAAACACCACGCCCGTCTTTAATGAGCGCGACAAATGCGAGGAGAGAAGGGGGTACTTCAAGCAGAAACTGTGATCTTCGATTTTACGAGCGCGGTCGTACCTGGCGCGCTCATTATCTCGCCAATTTGACAGCTGTCAGCGGATGGCCCTTCTGTGATCTCAACGCGAGGAGATTGCGTGCAGAGTGTCTTTGGAGCTTCTGTATTCTCTAATCAGTGTTGCATAGAGTTGCGTGAGGTCGGATCCGAAAGAGTCAGCTTCCACTCTCCCTTCGTTACAATTTGTTGCTATCGCATTCAACCTTGATACAACCTTGCGTTGAAACTGTGACTTTTCAACACGAAAGTGTTTTAAGCCCGGGTCCACCCCAGCTCCACTGACGTGTTTTCGTTACAAATATGGCATTGTAAAATGTACACACTAAGAAGCGGCAAAGCAAAAACTAGAAGAAAAATCTCCCCCCCCCCCCCCCCGTTGGTAGTCGTACCTGTGACCTCATGCTTCGCAGCGCGCAGCGAGAACCAACTCTGCCACGAAGCGTAGTTTTTCAGCTTTCTAACAGAGAGCGAGTTATACTATACACCATTTATTACTGGCGGTGCTCAAAGATCTGGCGGTACTTAAAGATCTGTAATTTCAGCGTGTTCTTGTTTTTACTGGCTAGATAGCGCGAATGATTCGAAGGGCGCACTTTGAAGGTCATCGCCCCAAGTGTTGCGATGCCCGCGCGCCTCAACAGAGTGTAGTCGCTTGTGCACCCACGCTTATCTGAAGACCGGGGGTGTTTGTACTTGTTGAGCTTTCAGCGAAAGAGCAAGCTGAGACTTCAGAGTGCACGAAGGTCACTTCCCTCGCTGCAGTGGCCGCCCTTAAGGAAAAAACGCTCTGCATGCTCTCACAAAATCAACTGACAGCTGTTAAATGCGCGCACGTCCTGCGTATATTTCAGTGATAGTTCTATGCATCCTTCTCTGCATTGGAGCAGAGTGCTTTAGGTGTCCAGCTCTGACAGTGTTTAGAAATCAGTTGTCTTCTGCGTGTTCTTTCCGTGCGTCTTTTTTTTATGAAATGAGCTGCCACTTTGGAGTGGCTTGGAGTTCTTCACGTAACATTACACCTTGTTGCTATAGCGTTCATTCCTTCGACCTCGAGGCGAAAGAATACGCAATAAACGCTCAATTCCGCCTTTGAAGACACGTTTCCCTTTCCTGTTATACTGATTCCTGGGACAGACAACCCAGTTATGTGTTTTTTTTTCTACTATCACAGCTGCGAGTGTGCCCAAGGGTTTTACGGAGCTCGCTGCACCGAGAGTCAAGACGCCTGCACAACAACGAGCTCACACTCACTGTGTGACCACGGTACCTGCGTCAGCCTGCCTCGCACCAATAATGTGAGCTACTACTCTCGAACAAGCATTCCTGATTTATCTGTATGTCGCGGGAACTTCTAATCGATAGATAGATAGATAGATAGATAGATAGATAGATAGATAGATAGATAGATAGATAGATAGATAGATAGATAGATAGATAGATAGATAGATAGATAGATAGATAGATAGATAGATAGATAGATATAGATAGATAGATAGATAGATAGATAGACAGACAGACAGACAGACAGACAGACAGACAGACAGACAGACAGACAGACAGACAGACAGACAGACAGACAGACAGACAGACAGACAGACAGATAGATAGATAGATAGATAGATAGATAGATAGATAGATAGATAGATAGATAGATAGATAGATAGATAGATAGATATAGATAGATAGATAGATAGATAGATAGATAGATAGATAGATAGATAGATAGATAGATAGATAGATAGATAGATAGATAGATAGACAGACAGACAGACAGACAGACAGACAGACAGACAGACAGACAGACAGACAGACAGACAGACAGACAGACAGACAGACAGACAGACAGACAGACAGACAGACAGACAGACAGACAGATAGATAGATAGATAGATAGATAGATAGATAGATAGATAGATAGATAGATAGATAGATAGATAGATAGATAGATAGATAGATAGATAGATAGATAGATAGATAGATAGATAGATAGATAGATAGATAGATAGATAGATAGATAGATAGATAGATAGATAGAAAATCTGTTGATGATGGTGACGACGATATTGATGATATAAAGGTCTTCTAATGAACGGCGAATGGTGAAAATACGCAACTTTTTTCCAGTCCAGTAATCTACCACTCAGCTACGCTGGTGCTTTTTTAGGGGTGAAGCTCCTTAGGGCGTAGGTCTATCCATCCTTCGTCGTTGTCTTACGTAGCCACGGGGATGCGAAATGAGAGATGGCGGTACTTGGAATGTTCACTAGATGGACGCACGGACGGACGGACAGACAGACTAGAAGACGGACGAACTGATCGACGGATGCGCGGACGTACGAACGGATGGACGCATGGACAGACGGACGGACGCATGGATGGACGCACGGATGGTCACGCGGACGTACGGAAGCAAGAACGAACGGATGGACGGAAGCACGGATGGGCTGATGGACGCTTCACCCCACTCACCATCATTCACTCCATGGATGCTGTGATTTTTTTCTTACATGGTATTTAATACAAATGCTGTTTACGTATATGCATAGCTAACAACATACATATAAATGTGCAATGAACGTTACAAATTAAATCTCATAGAACATAATGTCTAAAGGGGTATTTGTGTAGCACACTTTATGAACTCAGCAAACCAGTCCGGCTGAAATTGTAGTTGGTCATAAAAGTCCCTTCGCCGTACAGTCATCTGCACGAAGTGGCTTCGGGGAGACACTATTGGTTCCAGATGCCTGTCCAACATGCGAGTTTTCCATAAACTATGCAGGCCCATTAACAACAGCATGTAAACTGGCATGTAATTGCATTTGGATGGTACAAGATAATGGATGCTATGAGAGTTGAAACCCAGTCGTTTTTTTTTAAAGCTCTCTGCAGGACGTCCCTGAAAAGCATGGCGTCATTGGAACTAATAAAGCAATGTTCATTTGTTTCTGAGTCTTCACCGAGGTGGCACTTCATTGAGGATACAAGTATGCCTTTCGTGTTTAACCATGTTTTTACAGGTATTGTTTCTGTATGCACTTTGTAAAACAATGTCTTGGTTATTGGTGAAATAGGCATTTTTGTTACACGTAATAGCACGTCGTGACCAGAAAATTCAATATCTAGTGAGCGCTGAAGCGGTGCCGGAAAGAGCACATCCAACAAAGCACAATATAGGTATTTTCTTAAGCTAGAGAACAAGTATACTCCCTGGAGAATATGGCTGTCAGGAAACGCACTGATTCGTATACTTCATGCATAAACCATTGCAGATAGGGAAGCAATGCAAAATTAGTAGATGCCCACAAATTTGGTAAAACATCTGCGAAATTCACTTGCGAGAATTTCCGAAGCAGTGGATGAGCTCAGTCACAAAAATAGGAAAAGCGTCTACCAGTTGCCTCATAGAGAGGTGTACCAACGCAAGACTGCCTGCATAGACAGGTCTAATAACATTATCTTGCCTCATCGGATCATAAGTTGTTTATTTATTTTATTTATTTATTTACAGTATTTCTGCTGGCTTCAAAGTGAAGCCATAAGCAGGAGTGGGTAACATATAAATATAGCACGCTGAACGTTTTCACAATATAACACGCACAGAGAATGTCGCGGACACACAGGTTTTAACGCGGTAAAAAGAAAAATATAAAGTACATGACATGCATAGCATAATATCTATATAAGTGCGTACTAACATCACTTGTGTACTAACAACGCAACGTCACAAAAGAAAGAGTACAAATATGGCAGGAAGACATGCTATAAGTTTTTTAGCTCCGATAAGAATGACGCCACTGTCACCGCCTCCACAATCCAACCAAAGAGGCGATTCCACTCGCGTACAGTTCGTGGGAAAAAAAGAGCCCATGTACAAGTTCGTTCTGCAAGAAAATTCCTGTAATTTTTTTGAGTGATCCGCCCGCGTGGGTCGTCGCACAACTTTTTCTATATACGCACTTGAATCAATGCCAAGCTTATCGTGGGAGAGCAGATACATATATATTAGTCTTTCGCGATATCGCCGCAAATGTAATGCTTTCAAGTTCGCTGTCTGAAGCAAAGCAGTGACTGACGCAAAGCGATTGTATGAGCGAAAGATAAATCGAGCAGATTTTCTTTGTAGGTTTTCTAGTTTATCAATATTTTTCTTTGTGTATGGGTCCCAGACCACGCAGGCATATTCCAAAAGGGGACGAATGTAAGTTTTATATGCTAATAGTTTTATTTCTTGCGTTGACTGTCATAACGATCTTCTAAGATATCCAAGCTTTTTCATGGCTTTCTTTTCTAGAAAAGTGATATGTTCATTCCACCGGAGGTCTGAAGTGATTATTAAACCTAAGTATTTATAACGATTTACAGCCCTAAGACAGCGACCATTTATTGAATACTGGAAAGTAAGTGGTGCCTTTTTTCTTGAAATTGTCATTGAGACGGTTTTTGTAGTATTGATGCTCATCTGCGTTTTTCACACCAAATATGCAGTTTGTCCAGGGCACTACTTAATAATGCCTGGTCGGCAGGTGTGTTTACTTCCTGATAAAGGATACGCTCGTCCGCGAACAGTTTGATTTTGACAGGTATATCGTTTACGATATCATTTATATAAACTAAAAAGAATAGTGGCCCGAAAACCAACCCTTGGGGAATGCCTGATTGCGCGGGCGCCGGGCGTTAACACGAGCCGCCAACTGATACGCATTGACTGCTAGACGATAAGTATGACTCTATCCATGAGAGAAGTGAGTTATTTTGTAATATGGGTTTTAATTTTAACAAAAAGTTATGGTGCGAGACGCGATCAAATGTCTTCTGGAAGTTAAAAAAAATTATATCGATTTGACTCTGTTTATCTAAGGCTGAGGCAAACTCGTGTATTGTCTCAAGGAGTTGGGTAACCGTCGACATTCCCTTACGGAAACCATGTTGGCGGCAATCAATCAATTTATTCTGTTGCAGAAAGTTTGACAAGTGCGTAAAAATAATATGTTCTAGCAATTTTGAGCAGGTACACAGTAAAGATATTTGTCTGTATGACGTAATTAGTGAAGCATCTTCCGCCTTAAGGATCGGAACAACCTTCGCGCGCTTCCAATCTCCCGGGAGTTCTGCAGTGGACAATGTTTTTTGAATATAATAGATAAATACTTTGAACACCATTCTGCATACCTTACTAGAAATGCGTTCGGTATGCAATCAATTCCTGGTGATTTCTTTATATTGATTTTAAGCAGCAGTGATTAGACACCCTCTTCAGTTATCATTAAGTCAAAAATTTTGGGTACGTCCTGAGAAATCGCAAAATTTGGTTGTTTCCCACTGTCATTTGTGTAGACTGAACAGAATAACTTGTTAAACGATGACGCAAAAGGAGTGATTCATCAATTAACAATTCTCCATTATTGAGGATTTTATATGCCTGTTGCTTCCTAGGTGACAAGTGTCGCCAGAACTTCGCAGGAGCAGAAAGCAAGAAGTTTTTCAAAGATATGTTGAAAACACAGTCTTTTGCTTTCTTTATGGTTTTATTTAACTGCAAACGCATATTAGATAATTTTGATACATGAGAAGATGACGGGTTCTGGCGCAGTCTTTTGCACATCTTCTTTAGTTTGCGTCCCGCTCGCTCTACTTCCCTCGTCGTCCAAGGGCGAGCAGATTGCGTTCTGATAATCTTTGAGGGGACATCACTTGAGACGCATTTAATAACAAGACTCTTGAAGAAACCCCACAAATCTTCGACAGAGCAACTACTTGATTCATACATATCACCGAAATCTGAAAACGATATATCTAACAGGTCAAGAACGGCGACGTCATCAGCACGAGTGAAATTTGGCACTACGCGTTTTTCTTTCACTTCTTTCCTTACGTGGAGTGGAATGCTCAAAGACAACAATCGATGATCGGATACACCGTCATAGACGCACAAAGCAGGATTTCAACGAAGGATTCTGTCACTCACTAGAAAGAGATCCAAAATAGATTGTGCATTACTTTGAACACGGGTGGGTTGTTTTACTAACTGTGTTAAGTCATGAAAAAGAACAATGTCGACCAAGGGCTCAGCAGCACTAGAAAGCGGTTCCGGGAAGTCCGCGTCCCAATTTTTTGAGGAATATTAAAATCGCCAGCTGATAATATATTAGAAGTGCTTGTGTTGCAAGAACAAAGAAAATCATTATTACCATCAAAAACGCCTTCTCGGCATACGGAGGGCGGTAAAATGCACCCACAACCGGGTTCATTTCCTCAAAGTGTATTTTAATATTGACACCTTCAATGCCGTCTC